CCAAAAAAAAAAAAAAAAAGAATCTCACAGATTGTCCTACCTGGGCTGGCTTCAAACCATGATACTAAGATGTCAGCTTCCTGCGTTGCTAGGATTACAGATGTGAGCCACCAGCACCTGACAGGCCAACAGTATTTTCTAAAGACCCCTAGGTACTTTCCGTGAACGCATAGTAGTTTTCTGGCCCTGCCAGGAACCTGTGGCTCATGCCTATAATCCTAGCTACTCAGGAGGCTAAAATCTGAGGATCACGGTTCAAAGCTAGCTTGGGCAGAAAAATCCCCATGCAACTCTCATCTCCAATGGACCACTCAAAAAACCAGAAGTGTTTCTGTGGCTCAAGTAGTAGAGCACTAACCTTGAGCATAAAGAGTCTCAGGGACAATGCCCAAGACCTGAGTTCAAGCTCCACAATCGACAAAAAAAAATAAAAACATAAAAATTTCTGGCCTAGTATTATCTGAGGCTGAGTTGTCTGCTCAGGGTGGGGCAGGGCCTCTCCGTCTGTTTCTGACCCAGAGTGGTGCAAGAGAAATTGAAATCGTACCCTCCATCCATTCACAAGGGTTTACACCCATAACCACCCCTGTAGAGTCCTCTGGAACCTGACAGATGTTGGGGTCAGATCCCACTAGTTCTAAGGCTTGGGGCAAGTCCGATGAACTCCTTCACAATAAATTGGGAAAAAGAAAGCCCGATCCTGTGTGTTTGAGGATTTTCCCAGCATCAAAGGAGCCCTCAGTCACTAACTATGGTTATCACTGCTCACTCCCTCCCTAGGAAGTGAGTTTTTCAGCTGCCAGAACTGTGAGGCTGTAGCTGGGCGGTCATCTGGACTGAACCCTTTGACTCCGGGAGATGAGGACAAGCCCTATAAGTGTCAGCTTTGCCGGTCTGCCTTCCGCTACAAAGGCAACCTGGCCAGTCACCGCACTGTGCACACAGGTAAGGAAGGAGAGGACTTTGGCCTTCATGCCCACCACTGCTCTGGGTAAGTAAAGTTCCTGACCTCCTTTTGTCCCACCCGCAGGGGAAAAACCCTACCACTGCTCCATCTGCGGAGCACGATTTAACCGACCAGCGAACCTGAAAACGCACAGCCGCATCCATTCAGGAGAGAAACCCTACAAGTGTGAGACCTGCGGCTCGCGGTTTGTGCAGGTAGGGAGGGTCTCCACCCGGGAGGATTCGGAGGCTGGGCGTGCGGGGCGGGGCCTGCGCAGAATCCGCCCCCGGGCCGGGTCTGAGGCTCCTCCCCCCCGCAGGTGGCGCATCTGCGCGCGCACGTGCTCATCCACACTGGGGAGAAGCCCTATCCCTGCCCTACCTGCGGAACCCGATTCCGTCACCTACAAACCCTCAAGAGCCACGTTCGCATCCACACGGGAGAGAAGCCTTACCACGTGGGTAACCAGTGTGGCCTGGCCTTAGAATTACTTCCCGTTCACCTCTCCGGGGAAAGGATGGGGCCTTGCTGGCCAGCCTAGAGCTCTTTGAGAATGCATGATGACCTGGGGGAGTCCTAGAGAATAAGGGGGATTGGGCCCTTGAGTTCCTGGGCTGGGTCCTTGTTTTTAGGGAGAGGGCCTAACAGATGTGGGCAAGTTTTGCTAGCTGGTTCCTGGAGGCACCCCCCCACCCCACCCCAGGGGTTGGATGATAATGAGTTCCAAAGGGTTAATTCTCCGGGAGAAGCTGGACAATCTTGCTCAAAGCCCCAAGGAAAGGTGGTTTTAGAAGGGGAGAGATCTGACCAGGTTCTCCCTCCCACAGTGCGACCCCTGTGGCCTGCATTTCCGGCACAAGAGTCAACTGAGACTACATCTGCGCCAAAAACACGGAGCTGCTACAAATACAAAAGTGCACTATCACATTCTGGGGGGGCCCTAGTTGGGTCTCTACCCACGCTACTCCCCCTCAGGGGGCCAGAAAAGCTGCAGGTTCAGGCCTGGCTTCCCTATATGTCTTATATAGAAGTGTGCAGGACCACTCTGCTATCAGAAACTGCTGCCACCTTAATCTTTTGGTGGGGAGAGCAGGGGTTGCAGATCCCAGCTAGATCTGCCTCCGTTTTGCTGGTCAAAACCTCTTCCCTGCAATCCAGATTGTTTAGCTAGGGGCTGGGGGAAGGGAAAGGTTGCAGGCTCCACCTGCAGCCTGTATCTCATCTGGTTTATTTGTAAATATATTATTTATTAAGGGCTGTGGGTAGCATCAGGACCTTCATTCTGTTGCATTTCCCACTTCTTCCACAAATGGAATCAAATGACCTGAAACACAGAAGGTGAGGTCACAGCTCTGCTGGCAGAGATTATTATCACTTGGCTTCGGTCCTTTGGCTTGAGTGTCTTGTATTGTTATTGTCATAACTTTATTTTTAGAGTTCTTTCTCCTATTTGCTTGTTGGTTTGTTTAAAATGGAAATAGTGATTCTCTGTGTCCTATACCTCTAACTCTAGGTCTAGAGCCTTTATTCTTTCTAGGGCAAGCCCTAGAGACAAATAGTATGGGTCAGGAACCCTTTCTGGTATTCTGAATATTGCAACTTCTCTAGCAGGCTAGAACTTTTTCCATCTTCTTCAAGGATGATAGGAATGTTTGTGGTGAACCCAAAAATGAAGATCATAAATGCCTCCTGAAGCTTCACCTACCTAAGTGAAGGTTGGTTGGTAGTTTTTCTTGCAAGCTAGTTCAGAACGTAAGTGGTCCCTTTAAGCTGATCACCTAGGTTTTTTTTTTTCTCTTTTTGGGTCCAGTCGTAGGCCTGAACTCTGGGCCTGGGCACTGTCCCTCAGCTCTTCAGCTCAAGGCTAGCGCTCTACCACTTGAGCCACAGCGCCACTTCCAGCTTTTTTTCTTTTTTGCTTATGTGGTACTGAGGAATCGAACCCAGGGCCTCATGCATGGAAGGCAAGCGCTCTACCACTGAGCCACCTCCCCGGCCCTGATCACCTAGGTTTTACTGCAGTGCATCCATCTATCATAGTAGAACCCTCAAGGAGTTAAGTTGAACCCAAAATGTTCCCACTGGGCCTGTTCTTAGCACTGACTTGATACCTCCATGGGAAAGAAATCTGAGATTATGTGACCTTTTAGGATGTCTCTCAATCTCTAAGAATGTTAGGATCTACAGAGTATTATGACACTCCTTAACTAAGGTAAAAGTTCATGAACCATTATTTACTGCATAAGATCTGAATTTGAAGAATTCCTTAGAGTTTTTTCCTACTTGAGATAAGCCCCTTCCTTTAGTGGATTTTTGGACATCTGGGGTAAGAGATTTAAGAAGCTCTTTTGTCTCTCTGAATTGCAGGTTCTTTGTAATTTTCTTCCTTTAGAAAATCTGTGTCTGTGATCTAGTCTTCCTATCGCAGCATCCCTGTCTGGAACCAGTGAATGCACTAGAACCTTCCACAGGAAGACGAAAGGGGGACTGACTGAGTTCCATTCTGGGTTTGTCGTACTTGGGATTATAATTGGAATTATTGTTGGAATTATAGGTTTAAGAAATTTAAAAGACTGGTTGATTAATGGGCTAAAGGCCCTTTCTGGTTGACCAAATTGCCAGGTAGAATTAAAAGGACTGAGGAGGGTTAAGTTTCTGGTGTAGACCAAGTAGGTAGAAAGTTAAGAGTGGTGTTGCGTCTTGTCTAGATGGAGTGTCTAGAATGTTGGATAATACCCAAAGCTTTAATTTATAGTCCTGAGTATTGTTGCCCTGGGACATAAATTTAAGTAGAACATGAGTGAAGAGTAACAGACACTTTTGAATTGGTGGTGTGGAACTTCAAGATAAGTTAGTACTTGTGACATTGACTGTCATTTGGGGACTGGTGAGAAAGCTATTCTCTCACCTTCCACCATACTCCCCGTCACCCCATTACAGAATTGAAGACGATAGGAAAATCAGAGGGGAGATGTTAGAAAGAGCCATGATTTCTGTTTAGCAGACTGGATGGGGAATTGGAAAGTGTTGATATGAAATGTAGATCTGGCAAGATTGTGCCCTTGGAATAAAGAAGCCTCTCCCTGCTACTCACTGTTTTGTGAGTTCTCTCATATGTATGGGGAGGGAGGAGGGAGGTGTGAAAAAGATCTAAGGGTTTGAAAAGCAAGTTCTCCCTCCTAAATAACAACTTGGATTTAGAGCTCATTTCACTGTCCCATTCCACTAGACATTTCAAATGGTCCTTGTTCTCTCCCTGCCCTTGCCTTCCTGCTCATTGTGTAGGAAACCAATGACTTCATGAAGTTTCTCCGGAGCCACCTGCATCCTGCTGGTATGAAGTCACTTCCTGCCTGAGTTGTGGAGGCAACAGGGAGAAACTAGAAAACCAATAGTAATACCAAGAGGCTGGGGATCTTGACGGCTTAGGACCCACAATCACTATCATCAAGGAAAATGGGATAGGACTTGAATCCTGTAAGGACTAAACTAGAAGTGGCGATGAGATGGCTGTATAGGTCTGTTCTGGCCCACTGACAGAGATTATTCTGATATTACTTCTCTCTGGGCCTTAAAGTTCTCATCTGTGATAAGCGTCAGTTAAGGTGATCTCTGCAGTACTTTCCAACACTTATAAGCTGAGATTGTGTGTCTTAATCTTTTAAAACCAATTACCTGAAGTAGATTTTTTTAAACTAAGAGAAAAGTAAACTAAAGCCTTCTTTTACCTACCACTACAGCTTACTTTCTTCATATTACAAGTCAGGCCCTAAACTAAGCATGTAAATGTCTGGAATTTCTACTTTTAAGTCCTTTGATAACCCTATATCATTACCCTCAACTTACCAACGGGGTAAGAGGCTCATTGTCTTGATCAGATATTAAGTGATAAAAGTTCAGCTCCTAAATACTGGTAAAGGGCCACAACAATCTCTTTTTTTGGGGGGAGGGAGTCCAGTCGTGGGCCACAACAATCTCTCTTTTTTGGGGGGGGGAGTCCAGTCGTGGGGCCTGAACTCTGGGCGTGGGCGCTGTCCCTCAGCTCTTCAGCTCAAGGCTAGCACTGTACCACTTGAGCCACAGCACCACTTCCGGCTTTTTTCTTTTCGTTTATGGGGTGCTGAGGAATCGAACCCAGGGCCTCAGGCATGCAAGGCAAGCGCTCTACCACTGAGCCACCTTCCCAGCCCCCTGGGCCACAACAGTTTCTGTGTCTTTGGCATATTCTCTACTAGCCAGTGCTTAGTTGACTATACTTACAAGAAAATTACACACACACACACACACAAACTTTCCCCACTGCTCTGGTTATGAACTTGAGGAGCTGGAGTTAAAATGAAGGACAGGAAACCCAAATCATTAGTATGTGTAGGTAGTGTTTATTAGAGACTTGAGTACTGGCCAGTAGAAAGGGCATGTATCATTGGCTGGGTTATAGCTTGTCTCCAGTATGCTCCATCATGAGATCAAAAACTGCAGTTAGAAAATGACTTAATAGCGGTTGGAGGGAAAGAAAAGTTCCAGCCCCACTGAGGAGGCGGTAGGTTGTGCTGGTGGAACCTTGGGTGAGCTTACACCCACCTTTCCTCTCTCTAGTTATTTTTGGGTCCCAGTGACCTGTAGGCTTCCTGTTGGTTGGAACAGTAAAGAGAGAAATGAGTTATATAAATGAATGCCAGAGCCCAACAATTCACCAGTTCCCCTTCCTTTTTTTTTTCCGGTCATGGGGCCTGAACTCTGGGCCTAGGCACTGTCCCTCAGCTCTTCAGCTCAAGGCTAGCGCTCTAGCACTGAGCCTCCTTCCCAGTCCCTCCCCTTCTTTTTTCCCTTGACCTCTGGACATCAGGAATCCACAGCATCCAGATTTCCCCAGCTGCTTGTTTGCCTAGCTGCATTAGCCACCGCAGGTGTTCTACCCGGTTGTGTCTTATCTCACAACCTCTGTCCTCTCCCCACATACCCATGACAATTCCAGAATTCTTCACTAAGCAAGTCATTGCCTGCCTCTCCAGATCCTGTTTGCCCACCACTGGCCTCACATGTGGGTATTTGCTGTTGAAATGTGGATGAGTTGACGTCCAAGAGGAAGCTGGATTGCAGCACCCCAAAAGCAGATAGAGTCCCTCCCTGGTCACGTGGGGTCACCCAGTGGGCCCCTCCTTACGCATGCGCCCAGCCCACTGCTGAGCCTGAACAATGTTCTAAATCTTGCCCCTCCCTTCTGGCTCCGCCCTCCGTTCCCGAGTCCCGCGTCCTCATTGGCCAGTTATGGTCTGACTGTGGGCCCCCTTAGCCAGGTGCCTACATTCCCCTGAAATAAAATCAAAGAAATCCACACCTCGACAGGCGTGCGTCGGGGGTGGGGCCAAGCCATCACGTTCTCTGTGGGTCTGGGGTGCAAAAGATCGGGCCCATTTTCTCGGCTGCGGGCCAAATAGAGCACGGCCTCCGCTTGCTCCTGGCAGCGGTCAGCACTGGCTTCCCCGTCTCCCCCCCCCCCCCCCCCGCCCCTTTCCTTGGCTGCCCCCTGCGGAGAAAGGCGCAAGCGCTTCACATCGCCCCTTCAGTGACTTCCCCTCCACCCGCTTTCTTCCCTGCTCGCTGCCCAGCCGCCAGATAGGGTGGGTGGGCAGCGGTGGAGCGCTCAGGAGCCAGCTCCCGCCAGGGGTCTTAGTGGAGGACCCGGCCCCGATGGCGCGCCGGACTGAGCCCCCCGATGGGGGCTGGGGATGGATGGTGGTGCTCTCAGCGTTCTTCCAGTCGGCGCTGGTGTTCGGGGTGCTCCGCTCCTTTGGCGTCTTCTTCGTGAAGTTCGTCGCTGCGTTCGAGGAGCAGGCAGCGCGAGTCTCCTGGATCGCCTCCATCGGAATCGCGGTGCAGCAATTTGGAAGTGAGTGCTGGTGCCTGGGTCTGACGTCCTGTGAGCCTCAGGAGAGGGAGGGAAGGTAGGGACCGGAAAGGGAAAGGGCGAAGGGTTCCGGAGGATGCTGGGGAAGGTCGCCTGAGACTACACCGCAGAATGCCTTCCTCTTCCCCAGGCCCAATAGGCAGTGCCCTGAGCACGAAGTTCGGGCCCAGGCCTGTGGTGATGACCGGGGGCATCTTGGCTGCACTGGGGATGCTGCTAGCCTCATTTGCTACCTCCTTGACCCACCTATACTTAAGTATTGGACTGATCTCAGGTGAGACGCCGGACAAGGACAGGAAGAGCCAATGCCTGGATCTTTGGCTCCTGGATTTTTACTTTCTTCCTACTCCTAAAAGCTTCAGGGAGAAGCCTAGGGAAAGTCTGAGTAGCACGTGTGTCCTGAATAGATTTCTTAAAAGGAATAACTAAGTTGATAAACGTACTAGGAAAGTTATGAATCCCCAGCATACAAGCCCAAGGCTAGAAGGATTGGAATGTAAAAAGAATTTCTGTAAGATGGTGAAATAGGTATCAGTATACAAAGAAAACGTTCAATCATTTATGCAACTTGGCAAAGGAAGGTTACACAGCCAGAAATAGAGCGGAGGTCTAACTCCAGAGTTCTCTGCTAGTTACTTTTTTTTTTTTTTTGGGTCCGGTCATGGGGCCTAAACTCTGGGCCTGGGCGCTGTCCCTCAGCTCTTCAGCTCAAGGCTAGTGCTCTTACCACTAGAGCCACAGCACCACTTCCAGCTTTTTTCTTATGTGGTGCTGAGGAATCGAACCCAGGGCCTCATGCATGCAAGGCAAGCGCTCTACCACTGAGCCACCTTCCCAGCCCTCTGCTAGTTACTTTATAAACATTTTTTATCCTCTCCTTAAGAGTGTTAACTCCACTTAACAGATGAGCAGAGTGAGGCTGGGAGATAAATGTAACATACAAAGCTATACAAGTAGGAAGTATCAAAACCTGGACTGTAACCCAGGCCTGTGGGACTCCAGAGCAAAGTCTGCTGGGTGGTCTTGGGATTACTGGATCCCTTGAGCTCCCCTAAAGTCCGCAACCCCCATTTCTTCCTTTTTGACAGGCTCTGGCTGGGCCTTGACCTTCACTCCGACCCTGGCCTGCCTGTCCCGTTACTTCTCTCGTCGTCGATCTTTGGCCATGGGACTGGCACTGACGGGAGTGGGCCTCTCCTCTTTTGCATTTGCCCCCCTATTCCAGTGGCTGCTCAACCACTATGCCTGGCGGGGGGCCCTGATGCTAGTGTCTGCCCTCTCCTTCCACCTGGTGGCCTGTGGTTCACTCCTCCGACCACTATCCCTGGCTGAGGACTCTGCTGTGGGTGGCCCTGGGGCCCAACTCATCTCCCTCCTCCATAATGGCCCCTTCCTCCGTTATACTATTGCCCTTACACTGATCAACACTGGCTACTTCATTCCCTATGTCCATCTGGTGGCCCATCTCCAGGACCTGGGTTGGGACCCACTGCCTGCTGCTTTCATACTCTCAGTGGCTGCCATTGCTGACCTTGTGGGACGTGTGGTCTCTGGGTGGCTGGGAGATGCCATTCCAGGACCTGTGGCACGACTCCTGATACTCTGGACTACCTTGACTGGGGTGTTACTCGTCCTGTTCCCTGTGGCTCAGGCTTCCACAGCCCTGGTAGTTCTGGCTGTGGCCTATGGATTTACCTCAGGGGCCCTGACCCCAGTGGCCTTCTCCGTGGTGCCCGAACTTGTGGGAACTGGAAGGATGTACTGTGGCCTGGGACTGGTGCAGATGGTAGAAAGCATCGGGGGGCTACTGGGGGCTCCTCTCTCAGGTAAGGGAAATGGGATTGCCAGGTGGGCCAGGGCTGTCATGGCACACCACTGGGGTAAGGGACTGACTAGTCTCATTATAATGTATGTGCATATTGCCTTTGGGGATGGTACAGTAACACAGCCTACATAAGCCACTCATACCAGCCCTGAAATAAGGCCATGGGGCAAAGGACTTGGGGCTGGGCTGAGAAGGTCCACGTAGAAAGACTGTTTAACTATAGTCTGGAGTTTCAGAGGACTGTGGCATTCTGTTGTCTTCCTTTGGTCTACTGGGCCACAACCCAGGTGTCTGGTCCATCCGGTTAAAGTACTCCAGGCTCAAGATGGCAGAACCTTCTAAACTTTGACACTTTCCTCTTAACTATTAACTGTACATGTAGAAAGAAACCTTCAGGTGTGCCTCACTTATGCTGGTTTACTAGATCCCCATGAGCTGGTGTGGCAGACTTTTCCAAAAGCAATAAAGGGTGAAATTACTTTTTGAGGCCCTTTGGGAATCTAGAGTTCTCATATTCCTGTAACTATAACCTTGGGATTCCAGCTCTTTCAAGATAGTGGGTTCCCTGCCCCCAATAAAATGGGTCTAAGCTACCAGCCCCAGTGTACAGATCACCCACATGTATTTTTTTTTTCTCTCTTGGACCTAGGCTACCTCCGAGATGTGACAGGCAACTACACGGTTTCCTTTGTGGTGGCTGGGGCCTTCCTTCTCGCAGGGAGTGGAGTTCTCATCACTCTGCCCTATTCCTTCTCTTGCTGTCCAGCTCCTACCTCCAGATCCCAGGACCTTGTAATCGAAGCACCGCATACCAAAGTCCCTCTGTCCAAGGAGGAGGGGCTGGGAAAGGACTGAACTCCAGCCAGAGGCAGTCAAGTCTAGAAAGTCAAAGCTTGACAGATCCAAGTCTTCTGCCCTGTCTCTGACCTCCACAAATCACAGTGCCTTACAATTCTTGAAATGTCTCCTTAGAGCAGACCAGGGGTTTCTGAGGTGTGTGTGCCAAACCTTTGTATATTGTTGAGGGCTCTAATTTCTGCTCCTTTGTTCTCCCAGTGTGTTTGTTTTGTTTTGTTTTGGATCCAGGAAATCTTGCTTCACTGAACTCTGAATCAACTGAAAATCAAAGGCTGGGAGTGAGCCAGGTGCTAGTGGCTCACGCCTGGAATCCTAGCTACTCAGGAGGCTGAGATCTGAGGATCATGATTCAAAGCCAGCCTCTGCAAGAAAGTCTGTGAGACTCTTCATTTAACTACCAGAAAACCAGATGTGGCGCTGTGGCTCAAAGTGGTAGACAGCACTAGGTTTGAGCAAAAAACAGGTCAGGGACAACACTCAGGCCCTGAGTTCAAGCCCTACAACTGACAAAAAAAAAAAAAAAAAAAGGCTGGAGTGTTCTCATGTTTTATATGTGATCTCTAGTGTTGACCCCCGCAAGTTTCCTCTCTAAAAACCAGATGTTTGGGAAACATAGATGTTGGTTTGAGATCATATCAAATAAGGGAACTGGATAATAATCATAACTTCAGAAAGACCAAGGGCCTCATTTGGTTTGGTCAGCTAATGGAGTCATGGCTAAGCAGGGGAGTGGAGGTGTTCATGAACTCTGGTGACCCAGAGTTCCACCCTCCTGTCTTTGTAGCTAGCTTCCTTTTCCTTACTGTCCTTATGATTTTTTTTGGGGGGGGGGTCCGGTCGTGGGCCTGAACTCTGGGCCTGGGCGCTGTCCCTCAGCTCTTCAGCTCAAGGCTAGCGCTCTACCACTTGAGCCACCTTCCCAGCCCCTGTCCTTATGATTTTGGAGAAAGAAAGAAAAGAAAGAGGAAGGAAGGAAGGAACAAAGGAAATTTGGCCTTTTGTTTTTCTTTGTTGTTTCAAGACCATCTTGCTATTTGTTCCAGCAAGATACTCCTGCTGAGTGCAGGTGCAAAGTGATGTCCTGTTGCATGCTGGCCTTACAGGCATGTGTCCCACCTCATTAGATTCTTAGGCCAACTTAGGGAGATTGAAGTGCAGAAAGGAGTCTGTGAGATTTAGATACTAATTTTTTTTTTTCAGAATTAGGACTTGAACTCAGGGCCTGACCCTGAGTTCAGGATTTCAGCCCCAGTAACTAAGATGAATAATGCAGAGCAGAGGGAACACATGGACATCTCTTCCTTTCCCTCACTCCCCTACCCTGAACAGTTTAAAACTGGTAACTTTTCAAGACTCCCTCTGAGGTACAGGACTTGGGTAAAGAAAAATGAACTAGCTGAACACAGAAAAACCTTCCTCCAACACCCAGAGTTACTTGGAGTCCTGTTCTACTTTAGCCAGCCTTTTGAGATATCTTTCTTGAATTTTCAAGGTCCAGAATTGGCTAATGCAGTTTTCAAGGGGAATAAAAAAAAATCACATAAAAAGTCTTTATTGGGGGAGGGGCTTGCACAAGTAGATGATCAACAAGTTGTATCCCTGGCAGAGGCCAGGCCTCTTGGGGAGAGCAGAATGGCTTGGGGAACTGGCAGCAGTTCCCCCCTCTCAGGAGGAGGTGTAGCTGGAGGTGAGGCTGGCCTGCAAGAGGGGATGGCTCTGGGCAGCCCCATGTAGATGAAGCTGCCAGAAAGGATGAACGATCCACACACTAGGAAAGAGGCGCTGAAGTCTCCAGTCTCATCCCTTAGGAAGCCTGAGTAGAAGGGTAAAGGTATTTAGAGGTCTTCCACTCCAAGGGGCTGAAGATGCTGGTGACCAAATCTGCTGGATCAGCCCTTACCTGACAGGGGAGGGCCTAGAAGCCCCCCGAGACTCATCAGCATCATCACCAGTCCAGTGGCCTGCACCACACCTCCGATGCCCACCAGCCCCGGAAGCACACCGAAAACCAATGGGGCGTAACTTCCAGCGCTCAGTCCGTAGGCCCCAGCCGCGGCCAGCAGGGGTCCCCCCCAGCTGTCCTCGCTCTCCACCGTGGGCACCAGTCCCACCGCCAAGATCCCCAGTCCGGTCAGACCCCCGAACACGGCCAGCAGCCGCGGGAGGGGTACCCAGCCCTGGTCTGCCAGCCACCCGCAGACCAGCCGGGCGCTGGCATCCCCCACTGCGGCGACGGCCACTACCAGCGCTGCCCCATACCCTCCCAGACCCCGATCTAAAGCATGGGGGGCCAAGTGCACATAAGGGACGAAGTACCCGCCCCCAATCAGGGCTGTGCCCAGGGCAAAGATGGAAAAGGCCCTGCGCTTAAAGAGACCCAGGCCGAGGGCAGCTAGGGGGCTACGTGGTGGAGCAGGAGGATCGCCAGTGAGGGCCAGGGGTCGCAGCAGGGCGCCACAGGGGGTGAGGTGGAGGGTGACCGCGCCTAGAAGAAGCAGCGCGCCCCGCCAGCCGAAAGTATCCAGAAGGAGCTGCAGGGCCGGCGCCAGCACCAGCGAGGACGCCCCGTTACCCGTGAGTGCCAGCCCCACCGCCAAGACCCGACGGCGGGAGAAGTACCGCGACAGGGTGCCCAGGGCAGGGGCGAACACCAGGGCCCAGCCGGCGCCTGCAAGTCGATGGCATAGGGTGAGCGTAGCCCCCAAACCAGCTCCCGTCGTCCCCACCGTCGCCCCCGAAGGCCCCGGGCATCCCACTCCCCTCACCAGCGAGGAGGCCCAGGCCCAGGTAAAGGTGCAGCAGGCTTCGGGCGAAAGCCGAGAAGAAGAAGCCGAGCGAGGTCAGCACGCCCCCGATCATCACCACCGGGCGCGCCCCCCAGCGTGTGCTCAGGGCGCTGCCCACCGGACCTAGGAGGGGGCGGAGTCAACGGGAGACCTGCTTCGGAACCCCCAACTTTCTCCCGCCTTCTGCACTGGCTGTTTGGCCTCAGACTCCTCCCCTTGACCTCTTGACCCCCCACTCTTTTCTAGAATTTGGTCCCATCAGTAGGTTTTTTGTTTTTGTTTTTGTTTTTGTTTTTTCAGGTCGTCTGATAAGCAAGTGGGTTTCCCAACGCTACGGTCACGGCGTCTCCACCCCATGCCTGCCTCCCACCTCGGGGCCCCCCTCACTGGCTGCCTGCTGCACGGCCAAGGCCAGGGCGCTGACCCACGCAGTCTCCTGGGCGCTCCGGTCAAAGTGCTCGGCGAGGTCAGGGAGGGCCAGACCCAGAGAGCGCAAGAGCCCGTAGGAGAGGCCGTTCACCGCGAAGGCTGAGGCCGCCACCACCCAGCCCCAGCCCCCATCCGGGGGTCCGGCCAGCTTGGGGGTCATCGCCGTCTGCAGGGGTGGGGGTGGGGAGACACCTGTGAACGAGGGCTCCATGCCTGCTTCTCCGCCCGGGAGCTGCGAGCCAGCCTTGTGCTGCTCGCCCCGGGTGGGCGCAGCGCCCCCCCGCCCGAGCGTGGGCGCGGGAGACAGGCCTGGGGATAGAAGTCTGGGGTGCTCGCGGGGTCCTGGGAGGACGGGGCAGCCGAGTCCCCCTCCCACACCATTTTCCCCTTACCCGATCTCTCTGGGCGTTGGGGGGAAGGGAAGGGCGAGGAAGGATTCAGCCGGGTTTTCTCCCCGCTTCCCGGGCTGGCAGGGCCCGGGAGAGAAGCGAATGCAGAGATGGAGCCCCAACTTGGACGGGCTCTCTCCGTAAACAGAGATCACCACCGGGGCCTGAGCCACCTGGGACGCGTGGAGCGAGGGGGGGGGTACCAAGGGCAGGGAGGGGGAGCTGGGACACTCAGCCAATCCGCCAAGCCGCGGATGGGGCCCGCCGCCGAGTCCCACGGGGATCGGATTGTCCACACGCAACCCCCAGCCCCGGTAGGGAGTGGCGAGGAATGAATGCGAGTGGCCCCGCCCCGCCGCACCAGGCTCCGGCCCACGCACCTGCCGCCAGCTGCGCACCCAGAAGTTGGCGGGGATTGCAATCCCTACCTAACCTGTGGACCGCTACCCAGGCAAGGCATCCACGCATGGAAGCCGGCGTGGTCTCCAAAACCTTTGGGAATGAGTAGTTTCCTTCGGAGGAAGTGGCAAGTCTGGGTTGTGGAAGGATTGGCCGCCAATAGGTGCCTGATGGCTCTGCGCTCTGCAATAGCAACCACCCCCAAGGAAAGGGAGAGGACTTCCTAATAAGAGGATCGTCACCCGCTCACCTCTACAAAAGCCCCAGGGGGAAAGTGCCATTCCCATTGTGTGGGCGGGTGTTGATAATGGGGCTCGTACAGAAGGCTTCTCATTCCTTGCTTTTTCTGCTTCAGGCTGCTACTCTATCTCCCCTCCTATTCGGGCTTTTTGCTGATTAATTGGAGAGCCTCTCGGATTTATCAGCTGGGGCTGGCTCAAATCTTAGCATCCTGAGTAGCTGTGATTACAGTGAGCCTCCAGTGAGTGTCTGCCCGCCACCCCCATTTTACAGATGGAGTAGCTAAAACTCAGAGGTTAAGGATTTCCCATCTTAAAAAAAAAATGGTGGGAAAATCTGAATTAGGCCGGCCCAACTGCAGAGAGAACAGATCTAGGAGTAAAACAAAATTTACCATGGTTGGTGAAAATGGCCTAGAAAGAACTGGCACCTTCACAGGGCCAGAGAGCTTATGATTCCAAAATAAGAGTGACTGCAAATAGAAAACATCTTTGCTATCAGAATCCCTAAAGACGAGCTAAAAGCTTAAGAGAAAAATAAACTGGGCATTAGTGGCTCATACCTGTAATTCTAGCTGCTCAGGAGCCTGAGATCTGAGGATCACAATTGGAAGCTAGCCGGGGCAGAAAAGTCTGTGAGACTGTCTCCAATTAACCAGCAAAAACTCCAAGGTGGGGATGTGGCTCTAGTCGTAGAACACAAGCCTTGAGCAAGAAAAGCTCAAGGTCCTAAGTTCAAGCTCCAATACCAGCACACCCAGGGTCGTGTTGTGCCCCCCCCCCTTAAGTCACAGCACCACTTCCAGTTTTTTGGTGGTTTATTGGATGGACTCTCCTGCCTGTGCTGGCTTTGAACCACAATCCTCAGATCTCAGCCTCCTAAGTAGCTAGGATTCCAGATATGAGCCATTGACGCCTGGCAACACACAGGATGTTTTTTTTTTTTTTTTTTTTTCGGTCATGGGGCTTGAACTCTGGGCCTGGGCGCTGTCCTTCAGCTCTTCAGCTCAAGGCGAGCACTCTACCACTTGAGCTACAGCGCCACTTCCGGTTTTCTGGTGGTTTATTGGAGATAGGAGTCTCACGGTCTCTCCTGCCCGGGCTGGCTTTGAACCGTGATCCTCAGATCTCAGCCTCCTGAGTAGCTAGGATTACAGGCGTGAGCCACCAGCGCCCGGCTACACAGGATGTTTTTTAATAAACAAAAGGAAAATAAAATATCAAAATCTTTTGAGCCCTCTAGATGAATATTTTGTTATACTAGTTAGCATTGCTTGACTTCAGTCGTTTTAATAGAGAGATATATTCTTTGGCTTAATTATTAAACAATACATTGAAATCCCAGGTGGGAGCATGCATCAACCAATAGCCACACGATGGCAGTATTTCTTTATTGTTGAGAAATTTCTACAAGTAAGGGAAAAAAAAAAAAAGCTAACGTTGAGAGACTGTAAACCAAAAATCCAGTTTGACCTTCAGTGGCTCTCCATTGCCCATTAGAGGGAAAAATCAAATTTCTTCACTTTCTGTATAAGATCTTTTTACAATAACTAAAGGTATACCCAGGCTTCTAATTAAGTCTCCCTCTTTCTCTCACCAGCTGTCTTACCTGCTCCATGAATATGCCTCACCTTTTCTTCTGGATTTTAATATAAATCATTTTCTCGGCTGAAATGTCCAGGATGGGGTACAGGAGTCCAGGAAAGTTTAAGGTACACTGCCAAGGACACTTCAAAAAAGTGGACTCACTGGTTTCCCCAGCCTCAAGTTCTCTTTTCAAAGTCACCAAGGTAGAAGAGCTAGCAGGTCCTTAGCTACCCAGGAGGTAGGGAGCCTGCTACTTTAGAACAGGCTGGTAAGCACCCTGCTGTGATCGGAACAAGGACAAGGATTGAAAGGAGTCACTCTCCCTGGTGAAGTAGAAATATAGACAGAAGCTATGTGCTGGTGGCTCATGCCTCTAATCCTAGCTATTCAGGAGGCTGAGATCTGAGGACCACGGTTCAAAGCCAGCCCCAGGGAGGAAAGTCTATGAGACTCTTATCTCCAGTTAGCCACCAGAAAACTGAAAGTGGCACTGTAGTTCAAAGTGGTAGAGTGGTAGAGTGCTAGCTTCAAGTGAAAAACTTGGGGACAGTGCCCAGGTACTAAGTTTAAGCCCCATGACCAAAAAAAGAAAAAAAGGAAAGGAAAGGAAGAAAGAAAGGGAGAGAAGAAAAAAGAAGAGACGCCAGACCCTGGTGGCTCACACCTGCAATCCTAACTACTCAGGAGGCTTAGATCTGAAGATCACGGTTCAAAACCAGCCCAGGCAAGAAAGTCCATGAGACTCTTAGCACCAATTAATCACAGAAAAAGCTGGAAGTGGTGCTGTGGCTCTAGTGGTAGAGCACTAGCCTTGAGCACTAGCCTGGAGCTCAGGGACAGCACCTAGGCCCAGAGTTCAAGCCCCAGGACTGGCCAAAAAAAAAAATGTAGACAGAAGGGATTTGAACCATGTCATGCCCAAAGTACTTATGCAGGAGCCAAAAGTCAGGAATACATTCCAGAGCACTAGACTGGGGTAATTGATTGTGAAAGAGCTCCCCCCCTCCCTCTCTCTCTCTCTCTCCCCCCCTTGGTCCATCATGGGGCTTGAACTCTGAACCTGCCCGGGCTGGCTTTGAACTGAGATCCTCAGATCAAAGCCTCCAGAGTAGCTAGGATTACAGGCGTGAGCCACCAACGCCTGGCCTCATTTCGCTTCTATATCATGTCCCCTAGATTCTTAGCCAGAATTGGCATCTGTTGACTCATGGAGGTAGTATAGCATAGAGATTAGAAGAATGAACCCCCAATGAACCTCTCAGTGTGACTTACAGTTCCACCACTTAGCTATATGATTGCAAGCCAAGTTATTCAGCCTCTCTGGACCTGTTTCCTCATTCCTAAAATGGGTGGAATAAAGGTAGCTACCTAATCAGGTTGATAGAAGAATTAAATGTCACTATGTGTGCATGTGTAAATTAAGGACTTAGAAGAGTGCTTGAATATGGCACATGTTAGACAGAGCCATCAGAACCCTCTGCCTTTCTCCACCTCACTATCAATGCCTTAAGCTCAAGGAACCATATCAGTCTGATGAGTTCTCAGTATTAAATGTGAATGTCAGGTGCCATGGCTCATGCCTATAATCCTTGCTGCCTAGGAGGCTGAGCTCTGAGGACCACAATTGAAAGCTAGCCCTGGCAGGGAAGTCCTGACATTCTGATCTCCAATTAATGATCAAAAAGAGCCAAGAGTGGAATTGTGGCTCAAGTGATAGAGCTTTAACCTTGAGCAGCACCAAGCACTTAGACCCTGAATTCAAGCCTTAGTACTGGCACCAAAAAAAAATGTGAATAATGAATTATTGAAAGAAAAGAATGCTAGACAGAATCACTCATCATGTGAACTTGGTACCTGAAGATGTCAGGCATCAGGCACCTAGAAAGAATGGTTAATTGACTAAATTCATTATGCCTGCCCATGTGGAGAAGGCCCCAGAAGGAGATACTGAGCCATGTAGGATCTTAAGGGAGACCCTAAAAGATAGAGTTAAGGATTATATATACATAATTTGTTGTGGGGACACTGGATCTGGGAGTATGTCGGTGCTTGTGTACTATAAAATGACTCTGCCTCCCTGGCAGGTTCTTAGGGCTTTGAATTCTCAGGGAAGCTCTTCTCTGAGACCAGCTATTCCCAGGCACATCAGATTCTTTAGAAGGTGGTCAGGGAAGGAAGGGACAGACAAGGATGAGAGGTATTATTCACAGGGAACTTTGCTCTTTTAGAGGAACTAAACAACAAAAAAAGAAACTTTATATATTATTTGGCTTGGCTGATATTGGCCTTCTGGGAACTAATAGCTGCCTCTAACTCTCTAGTTTGCTTCCTTTCCCCAACTCACCTAAGGACCAGGTCACAGAAGAGCAGCACAGATCTCAAAACCCAGGACCAAAGCCTAGAAAAATGGAAGAAGAATATGACCTAGGAAGAGAGGGAGGACACAAAAGGCCAGGTTTGAGATTCAGAGGCAAGAGTGTACCTGTGTTAAGACAGGCAATGAAGCAGAGGGCTGTGGGGCCTAACATATGAAACAAGTCTACCTGGATGACCAGGGGAATGGCAAGGATGGAGAACTGAGCCAGTGGGACGTTGCTGATAAGGTTGGGGTTGGTACAGATGAAGCAGGTGAGCTTGGAAGCAGGTTGGAGCCAAGGCTTAGATGAAATGGTTCATACCATCTGCCAAGCCTGTCAGCCACCTCTCCTCCAGTTCAGTTCCCATCCCTTCCTCTGTCACGCCCCCCCCCCCGACCCATAGTGAAGGTCTGTCTGGTGAATTTGACATTTGGGATAGAGACTGGC